AAAATGTTCCAGACTCATTGCTGCCTGCAAGCACAAACACTGCTGCACACTGAACTGGCGTCATAAGACTGGCAACCTCACCAAAATACCCCACATAGAGCAGCAAGCTTAGTCAGTTGTGGAAATTAAGTTTCTCTGGGAGTGGAAGCCAACAGTATAACCCTCCCATTTCAGTATGCTGGACAAAGCATATCAGCAGACTTATTGATGTCTATTGAATATAAAGAATTGAGAGGAGAGGAGACTGATATGAAAAAGGAGATAAAAATGGAGAAGAAATGAGCACATGGAGATGTGGGTAAATGATAAGAGTGCAGAAGACCATTAACCTCGTTGTCTGCCCAGAGACACCAGCTTTATCACTTTTTGTGTGTTTTTGTGCTTGTTCCCTCAATGTGTGTGCAGTAGTTCCAGTTAGTGTGCCCATGCGCTAGTTTTCTGTAGTAGCATAGCATTAGCAGTATAAATGTTTATGTAGCATTGGTGATTTATGGTCCTTTTTAAAGGCCTAATGGGAATTGGGCTGCGATGCATTACAGACTGGCCTACTTTATGGCAGGGACAGAGAGCATGTGGTCAAGGGCTTATTTTTAGGTGCCACTATATCTTCCCTGTCAGTCAAATCAAGGAGGTTAATATAAGCTGACTCTCTGACCATATCTGACCCTCCAGGTGCAGTAGGACTGCTACATTATATTGATGAAATGGGGGTTCTTTTATTTAAATAGGGTTTTCTATGTGCTTTAATTTTTAGTAAGTAAATTTTCTGTCATGGTGATGGAAATCTTTTAGCTACTGTGGGTTAAATCGCTGTTTACGATTAGATGAGAGGCGGTTGTCATCATCATCTTCTACTCACGGTAAATTTTCTGTTTTAGCTTGTTGAGGTAGCATTTGAGCACAGAGAAATACCTTTTCTAACTTCAGCTATCATAGATAGCCTAGCCTCACTCAGCTGCAGTACTAGCCGTCTTTGGAGATTACTCCTAAGTAACTTGACCTGGTATGAATACCTGCATCACAATAGTGTAGAAATCTCTCCAGTAAAGTTTGTCCATAAAGACCCAAGTTCCATATTATAGTTATTTTGAGCAACCAAACTTAATGTCTGCGGTGAGAGGTGCTTAAAAATTTCTTAAACAAGTTTTTCATTATTAGAAAACACAGATTTATGTAAGGCTCTGTAGAGCTCATGAATAGGCCACCTGCTTAAAGTTATGACTCAAGTTTTTCATGTTTAGCAGTCCAGTAGAGTTCTTAATAACACTACCGCCTGTGTAAACAGGAGGTTTGATGGTTCAGTGCCATGCTCTGGTGAGAACTCTCTAATATTGGTGTGCAACTGTTATTTTAGGCTGCCTGTACAAGTCATTATTAGACTAAAATATAATTAGACTGTCTGTGAATAAAAATGCTGTGGGCTCTAATAATTTAGTTAAATTTCAATGATATTCAGGCTGCCATTTTTCCTTTGAGTCTCTGAAACCTAAATGTCTATGCTGATTTGCAAAGAGTTAACTGATGTGGTGCTAAATGGAATTACTTTGGTTATTTAGACTCTTCTGCAGTCTAAATATCATCACTTTTATGTAGTGCCTTTCCTGTGCTTAAGGATGCTTTACAATCAAAGAACATCAATGCCTTAAACAATTAACAAGAGGACAATACAGGTAAACATTACAATACAGTATAAACAGAACAACGATAACACAGTGAAAACAAGTAAGTATTTAACAGATTTAAATGAAGACAGAGAGGTTGCATCCTGAATAGACTGGGGGAGCGTGTTCCATAATTTGGGAGCTGCTACACTAAATGATCGACCACCCATAGAAGTCAATTTAAACCTTGGAACGTGAAGGCCTAAATTTTGTGATCCTTAAGTACAGGATAGGACATATATATGAAGAAGCTCTGCCAAGTATTGAGGAGCAGACCATACAAAGGTTATATAATAAAGAGAACCTTGTGCTGAACACAGAATGTAATGGGTAACCAGTGAAAACTCTGAAGGACTGGGGTGATATGATTATTCTTCTTTGAAAAGGTGACGATCCTAGCAGCGGCATTTTGAACATACTGTAACCTAGTGAGGGCTTTGACAGGAAGGCCAAAAAGAAGAATATCAAACTATTCAAATTGCAAACATGATATCGGCATGATGTTATTGTAAATTCCACTCTTACTTACTCTCATAGTTTACAGCAAAACAGTGCAGTGCTGACATTCAAGAAACCAATTGTTCATTCAACTAGGTTTCACCTAGGCTTGTCAGCTTGCCATTGTTTACCTACCTCAGCTGCTCTAACAGCACAGACCTAAACAATGAGGTACATATATCAGTAATTGTTACCAAAGGCGGCCGGCTGTTCTGGATTTTTCAGTCACTATGTACTTTAAAGTTGCCCAAATCAATCAGGAAATTATATCAACTGTAAGTTTCAAATGTGTTGCTTCAGCATCTGCCAGTTGCTTTCTGTAACAAGTGAGTCAGCAGTTTTTCTTCTTTTATGACGTACAGGGAAATGTGTAAAAGTTATTGTCTGTGGTAATCAAACCAAAAGCTATAGTTGAGATCAGATAGAGATTAACGTTGATAAATGTGGGAATGTTTCTTTAAATGCTTGATCAGTATGAGAATATATTTTGGGTGAATTTAAATAGGGTGAGGATTGAAGTGTTTTGATATTGCCTCAGTTTCTTTTAAATTTCTGAAATGCACGTTTCTTGTATCTACGTCCACAGATATTTAAACCATTTAAAAAGGTTCAAGCTGTAATCTAGGCTATATTCCTTTCTAGAATCCATACAGTCACGATATTAGCATTTTTCACCTCAACTAATAAATCTAGCGTAAATCTATCATAGATGTAGATTAACAGAATACATTCTTCATACTTTTATACCATAATCTGTATTTATGCCTTACTTCTTAGGCATTATGTTCCATATTCCACTTCATAAAAGCATGCAGTATTTGGCAAGATGATAACATTAGTTGTAGCTATTTGAAATTTAATATACTGGAACTTACGGATGAGCACTCTAAATTTGATCTGTCAAAGGTAATTTCTCATTCATAAGAGTTAATTTAACTCAATTCATGTGGATAGTATTTAAGTTCCAGAGCATTAAATGATGTTTTTCAATCAAGTTAACGCTCCAATCATATTGGTTCCCTGTATTGTAATGTCTGATAACAGCACATTTTTTTCACCATAACTGTATTATTTACTTATAGCCAAAGCTGTCATCACTTTATTAAAAGCCAGAATATTGCCACTCAATCTAATCGCTTACAGGTTTGTCGTACGCTCCTGAGTTCAAAATGAATGGGTTCCTATTATGATTTTTGTGCAAAATCATTATTCGTAAATGCTAATTTTTTATATAAAAAATACACACTTTTATATCACAGAACAGGATTAAATATTTAATTCCCAACTGACATGTCTTTGAGTGCTTTTGAACTCCAGTTATTGGCCTTTCTAACTGTGCATTAAGTATGTTTGTGATGTCAGTGAGTGTGAACTGCTTTACTCAGCCAGTGAGATAATCAGTACTCAGTATCAGTAGTACTGGCATCCTACTGCCTAAAACTGTTTGCAGTAGTATTTTCATGGAATACATAATTTAACTTTTTAAAAGAGAGTTGCCACACAGATGACTAAAAAGGTGTTGTGTTAAAATAGCCATTTAGCTCCTTTCACTCTTATTCACTGAGGACCTAAGTTAAATGCAGTTCATATTCAGGTTGCTCTTTTTTCCTTTGAGCCCCTGTTCAAGTATACAGCAGTTATACAACAGTTACAACAGTTATACAGGGTTAGTTTTGGAGTGTTCGTTCCAAATATTGTTTAAAATACATGCATTTAACAATGGCATGATCATTGTTACTTAGCAACCAGTGGTCAGCTGTGATTTTATTAGTGGTAAAACACTACTTCAACAATTTTAGTGATTTAATTCTTTTTCCTTGACAGGACGTCTTATAACCCTGCAATGTCTCCAAATTAGATTCCTTGACTGTGAAAGCTCTGACTGTTTCCAACAGTGATAGCTCATACACCAACCTGGAATGTGTTTGGTTACACTTTACATAATTTGTGAGCCAATAGCCTACGCATTGCTGCAGTATTTGGCCAGGGTGTGCAAACATGGCTTTATTCAGATTTTGATTAATGTCCCGGAAGCATTTCCCTTTTATCTCGTGTCCTTTTCTTTGAATGAGGTGCCTTCTTTGTCAGTACTTGCTTAACAGCAAACTGTCACTAAGTGGAATGCAGTTTTTTAATGAAAAAATGTCAGACTGTGATGTTTACACTTTTTTTTTCCAGCTATATATATGGCATACTCAGTCTTTCATAAACAGAGGGTGAGACATTTAGCTTTGCTCTGCTGCTTAGAAACAGTTAGCTGAAGTGTGTACAGTATGCATGCATCTGAAGTTACGTGAACATGCAAACTATTAAGCAGGTTCTGCAAAAAACAGATTTCATTGCTAATGTAATCTATTTACCAGCAGGCTGTACTCAAGCAGAATTCGCCTGTGAGCTTTTGAGTCACCTGAAAGAAGGTGTTCTACATTGTTTCTACTTTTCTTGGTATGTAAAATACTCAAATAGGTTTTGGGTCCTAAAACCAATTTTCTTTTTTTTTTTTGGCTGGTCAGTGTTGCAATTTTATGATGCAAATAATGTGAGTCAGGTAATTATTTGAATGCTGCTACAGTGATATGGTCCCAGGGACACTGTTTAGAGATTGATCGGTCAGGTTGAAGGGCCGCAGGGAGGTCTTGGAACAATTCTCCATGACATTGGAGCTTAGTATGAGTATATTACAAAGACTCTTTGGAACCTTTGCAAAGCATGAAACGTTTTCTTATGTGAGTTTAGTCAAAAAACAGCTTCTAATGCATGAGTGGCTTATAAACTGACATTCTTTTTGAAGAATGAAAAGTCCCTTACATTTGCAAGTGATGAACAGCATCAGTGTGTGTGTTTTCCCCCCCTCCCTTCCAATTACCATTTCTGTCACCATACACCCCAAGAAGTGTATACGTGCCAGGGCACATTGCGATACAGCAGGCTGCTCTTTAGTTAACTTTTTAGTTAACTTTTAAGATTTTTCATGGTGTGTTGAAACAATGTATTTAATGTTGTGCTCTAAGTTCTGGGTATTTGGAGAACGTGTAATTGCATGCCATGTGCAGAATAACATTTTGTGCTTTGGATCCCTTCTCCAAGCAGATGAATTGATGAATGTGAGTGTTTAAAGAGTATTTAAAGAGAACTGTCAAAACCTGAAGTATGTGTCTTCTGAGGATGTAAGTGAATTATTTTTCTATGTGATCATATCATCAGTATGGTATTGATTTTGTGTTTGAGACTCTATGCGTGTTGCGTTAATTATTCAGAAAATCAAATCATTAACAAACACAGTCCACTGATGTGAGTATCTGTGGATTAAAAAGCAGTGACTGCTTCAATGTCTGTCACGTTGTGGTTTGTTTCAGTATTTGTTTTCACATGTTTGCCTTTGGTGCCCTTTAATATGCTTTGTTTAATCTGGTTGTAGAACCACTCTAAGTCCTGGCTGTCCTCTGGCCAGCGCAAATATCTCCTGGTCTGAATGTAGGTCCTGATGGGTTCATACTTCATCAGTCTGTACTGTGGTATTTTGTCAACAAGAAGCACCAACAAGACATCCTTGACCTCCTCCAGCATCTTGCTCTGGGCCAGCATGAAAGCCTCCAAACACCAGCCATCCTTGAGGAACTCACGGGAGACAATGCACAATACTTTCTTACTGTTCCAGACAGCGTTCCGCATGTTGGATAGATGATCTTCCCCTGGTAGGAAGTCTCGTGCCTCGAAACAGCAACGGAAATTGTTCTTCTCTGAGAACTGTGTGTCTAGCTTTTTTAACAGTGCCTTTTCCACCCAGCCAGTGTCTTTTGAACTGAAGCACAGGTAGACATCATACAAGAAGCTGTCATTGGCAGGTGACTTTGATCTTCCCTCCACAAATGTGATGATCACCTTTCTGTAAAGCTTGAAGCAGTAACCGCGTAGACGGACAAAAACAACAGCACAGGTGAGGATTAGCAGAATAAAAACCGTGCAGCAGATGAAAAGCGCAAGCCGTAGATTTTCAGCGATTTTCTCATTGTCTGTGTCTTCACAGAGTACAGCGTAAATAAGAGGAACACCATGCTGCTGTTCTGGAAACTCACACATCAGGTCCTCGACATTGCCTACAATATTGGTTTTCTTTTGCGTCTCATTTAGCCAGGTTTGGAAGTCTCCTAAGCTGCAGTCGCAAAGGAAGCGGTTCCCATCCAGCTTAATTGTACTGAGAGTGCTCAAAGCCTGAGGGTCAACAGAACCAAGATTATTGTACGAAAGGTCGAGAGATCTCAGACTTTCAGGGAATATGTCACTTGGTATGTAGGTCAAGGAGTTAAAGGATAAATCTAAGTAAAATAAAGAAGTGAGCCCCTTGAAAATGTTCTTGGGGAGTGACTGCATGAAGTTGTTCTGAAGGAAAAGCAGCTGCAACTGGTGAAGGTTATCAAACACATCAAGACACTTTCCTTGTGACCAAATGTTTGGTAAGCCAGTTGATTGCAGATGAAGGATCTGTAAATTGTTTGTTGGTGGCACAGAATAGTTACTATTGTGGACACACCATAGAAAAACATTCCCTTCAATGTAGATCTTTTCAATTTGGGGGAGTTCTACTAATATAGTATATATGTCCTCAGCATTGCTTAATTTGTTGGAAGCCAAATCAATAATTGTGACACTTCTTGCGGAGCTTAGAAGTCCATACAAGGATCTAATTTTGTTATTGCCCATGAGAAGTACCTTAAGTTGTGGAAGTGCCGCCAATGTGTGCACTTTTTGTAAGGAATTTTCTCTCAGATCCAAGTAAAGCAAGTTCGGCAGTCCATTAAACGAGCCCGGCATAAGTATCTTTAAGTTATTGTAAGATAAATCAAGCAATGCAAGACTTTCTAAGTTCTTAAATGTTGTGGAATCAATTTTATCCAGGAGGTTATATGATAGGTTAAGCATTTTAATATGTGCAGCTCCCAGAAAGGCATCACGTTCAATTTTGTTGATTGAGTTTGAAGCTAATGAGACTCTCTCCAGGTCTGACAAGTGACCTAATACAGAATATGTTAGAGCAAAAATGTGGCATTGGGACAAATCGAAAATTCGAATGCCGCTGTCTGCTAGGTCCTTGAAGGTGTCTTTGTCTGGGTCTTTCATATTGTTGTACCCCACTGACCTGCCCATGCTACTGCTTTGACTAAGAATGAGCTTGTGGATTTTTGTTCCTCTGATCGCTTTGAAGAACAGCACAGCCATATCAACATAGAAGCTATTTAGAGACAAATCGAGCACAGTAATAGACATGTTCTTGAATGGGTTTCCACATTGGTCCCACTTGGGCCAAAAGTGACCCATGTCTGTCAATCTGATGTCAGTCAGTTTAAGGAGAGTAAAGTGTTTCCCTTGGAAACCAAATAAATCTTCCTCACATATATTGTTGATCCAGTTGTGGGAGAGATCTAGCTCGTGGAACTTGGTCATGTTGAAAAAGAAATGAGCAGGCTGGATCCTTGTGATACTATTAGTTTCTAGTGTAAGTCTCTCCAGGGACACTAAAGGTTTTAAATAGTCACCTGACAGAATAGAGTCATTTAAACTGCACTGGATGAGATTAAGTGTCTGAAGGTTGAACAACCCGTTGAATGCTCCTGGCTCCAGTTGTAGTAAGTGGTTGAACCCCAGATTGAGTTCTCTCAGATTGGACAGCCCTTTGAAGGCATTGTTCTTTAATACAAGTTGTGTTTCCTGTTGTTGAATTTTAAGGATCTGTAGAGCTTCCAAACCAGAGAACGATTTCTCATCGATTTCACTAATGTAATTGAGACTTAGATCCAAAAACATGATGTAATTGGGCAGAGGTGGCACTTGATTAAGTCTTCTCACTCCACAGAAGGCCTTGGTGTTGTCAATGAAGCATGGTGAAAAACCATTTGCCACCTGTAGACAGATGCAGAGCTGAAGGAGGAGGCTGGTGAAGCTGAGCCTGTTTGTCATACTGAAACACCTAAAAAGAAACAAAACATTGTAGCTCAAAAATTTCATATGAATTATATGCAAAAATCAAGTATGACAGCCTGTATAGGTAAAGGATGTTGAATTTTTAAAGTGTGTGAAGGCGTCGCTGGTGTGTGTGAGGTCACCCACATTTTTAATTAATTTGGCACAAATGTATTTATTTATTCCTTTATTTGTTTCTCTTTTACATTTAATTACATTCAAATGCATTCAATTAAAGGGAATTCTGCCCAAATTAATTTTTACATAATGATATAATGTGAAGCATTTAGCAGGGGGAGTCCACAAATGTTGTTTATTTAATGAGAGAGTCTGTTCTAGAGAAAATTAGTTAAAATTGTGTGGTTATAGAAACCAGATATCAGAAATCTGTAATGGCTACATCACTGACAGCTTTTATGCATTTACAATAAATGATTATGAAAGACTGTTTTGCTAAATTTTTTTGGAAAAGATTGTTTTAAAATGTCTTTTTAACAGCCACTCCTAACTGAGAGAGAACGTTGTAGGGCAAAACAGTCCCCAAAGAAAAATATTTGTCAGGTTTCTCACCGTTATACCTTTATCAATATCTCAACCAACAGAAGACAGATGTAGGTTCAATGGTTGTTTAGGTTAGTAAAAAAAAATGGCTAAATGTCATTGCCTAGTTCAAATAACCCCTGCTGTTAAAAAAGTCAGTATGTTATACACTGAGATTTTGGAAAGTCAGTGGATTTCCTTTAAGGCAAAGATTCCACACATCTTGATCATGAATTAAGGAGCCAACGCCTATTTGCTATTTGTTATATAACTTTGAGTGCAACTGCTGTTTAAGTTGTGAGGCATGTATTCTGACATTCCCTCATGACAGTCTTCATATTTAATGCTATTTAATACATGACAAGACAGTTCACCCTGTTTTTATTTGCTCTTACAAACCTAGCGAGGTAACTAACTTGATCCAGGAAAACGGCACTATGCTTAGCTCTCAGAATGTCTAACAGTCTAAAAGCAGTTTCGTTTGAAGCCAGGCTGTGAATTTTGCAGACTGATTGACCCAGCTCTGTTATGATCAGTAACACTAACACTTAAAAGCTTCTGAAGATTAGCAGCTGGTATAAACACTTTTCTGATGAAGACAGACAAGCTATATTGTTTCTTACCAAGTTAATTATTCTCTTGAACAGTCCGGAATATCTTGATTTTTGTCGTGGTGTGCTGGGCTGTGGAAAAGTGCTCCCAGTTGGGCTCAGTTGATAATGCTCTAACTATGAAAAAAGCACAAGTCTTCTTCAGACATATCCACATTCAGACCTGCACAGGATGAGGTCAGTGCATTCTTCAGAGTAGATTCTGTGTGCGTTGAACATTGCTCCTCCCAAGCTTCCCTTTGGCTTTTGTCCTCTTTTTTCCTTGTTCTGTGTTTACGCTTGTTTCGCAATGACTTTCACGCAAGCTGTGTTCTCAGTTCCAGCATATGGCAAGTGCTGACAAAGGAAAAGTTTAAACTGAATTAAATTACTTTAGGGTTTATGAATCAGACTTCTGTATCTGTACGCAAATATGCGTCATATTATAGTGATGACTCATACAAGGAACTATCAGTAGTTTTGATTGTGTACAAATGTTGTCTGAGATGGTGTAATAACTCTATTATATTCTGTCTCCTGTTTGCCTGTTTGTGACCACTACAATATATCCAGTCAGTCACAAGCTTAGATGAAGTTGCCATTTCCGGAGTTCTGAGATCAGTCAAACTTCTCTCTTATTGCTGTTAGTACAAGCATTGGGAATGGTAGATGAAGTGTGACTTTATTAAAAATAAGTAAAATAAATTTAACATAAAGGAAAGACTGAATGAATGAAAAGAAAAAAAGCAGCAATGCTACATACATACATACATACATACATACATACATACATACAAACAAACAAACAAACAAACAAACAAACAAACAAACAAATGTATTCTTTTATTTTGATATTTTTTTTCTGTAATTCCTGTTCAAATGTTGTACGTTACTGAATTAGGCAGTATTCAGTTGTGGGTATATTGTAAGACAAACCAGCTGCAACTAAAAATCATACCAATAAATTCTGTGCATTTCCGTGAAATGCAGATCGTAGCCAATTTCAATATGGCAAACTGAATACCTGCTCTATCTCTTTTCTTGAGATTTGCTTAAACCAGCGTGTGCTAAAGGTATAACTTCTTTGTATGACCATTTTCAAACCCCTCTATCTCGTAGGGTGAAACTGTTTTTGTTACTGTGTCTTTTATATGTGAGTGATCGATGTTCTGACTGGCTGCCCTTTGTGACTCAAATAGTGCTATTGACTATAACAACCTTATAACTTTATCATGATTTGTGGGACTACACTGTTGGCTGAATAGATGGATATATGTGAATGTGCTGGTTTTTGTGAAAAATTAAAATGGTGAATTCAAAATGGGCTGTTTTTCGCATCTTTGTTTTTATAGAGGGCTGTATGGACTGGACTTAATGGTACATTGTAATTGTGTAAAAAAGTAATCTTTTATAAAAAAAAAATGAAATTGGCCTTTTTACATGTAGCCTTTTGTACTTGCTGCATGAGGCAAGGGGTACAATTTTACGCTTGGAATTAGAGGTCTGTGTGGGACAAACAGTGTGATTTAAACCACATAATGGTTATTTTTGGTGTTTTGCTGGGTTTGGCAGTTGTGACCATCAGACTGAAGGCACCTCCATTTCTGTAAGCTACGAGAATTTGTGCGTTGCTTTTATGTGATTGTTGCTTCGCAACTCTTTAGAAAGACTTAAAGACTTTCATTTTAATTGTTTTACTGTTATCCTTTTATATTGTTTATGTATGTGATTTAGAGATCGTTCTGCCTTCTGGATTTCCTGTGTGCTTTGGCCCGCTCCTGCCTGCAGTGGGCTGATTTTCTGCTCGCTCCCGTGCACAGCAGTCCAGTGGTTTTTATCTTTATTGTTACAAAATGTAATGTTAATGTGTACTCTGTAGGCCCATAATCAAAACAGCATATGTGCTATTTCAGCTTGTAGCTGTGCTACAGCATTAGCCCTAGCCCATGTAAACTGTCCTAGTGATAGTCACACGTTATACGTATGTCACATTTTGTTGTTTTTCTATTTCTGTATGTTTTATTTTTTTGACGTGGCCTTTCCTTATTCAGTTGCGCTGTATGCGTTTCTCTATTAATACTCTAATGAACTTTTTGTAAACCCACAAAAATTACTGTGACTGCTGAGCTGAGGTTGGTCAGCCAAAAAAGATATCTGCTCTGAGGTGTTCATTTGGTGGTCCCTTCCCATTAAATGGGGGACTGATAAGCTGCATAAACAAGTGGTCTACAGTCAGTAATTGTAAACCTACAAAGTGCACCAGTAGATGTTTCTAATAAAATGGCCAGTGAGTGGTTTGATATAAAAAAAAATGTATGCATATGAATTGTAGCCTAAAATCAACACATTTCATCAGCAAAGACTTGTAGATAAAATCAGTGTTTATATGGAAAATATTAAAAATAAATAAATTAACTGGTTTAGCTGAATTTGTGGCAGGCATCCACATCACTGCACCTCAGAGGACAACAGACTGCACCGCTTTCCTTGTGGCTAATGAAGCTTAAGGAGCAAACATACCCCAGAAATCACGAGTGGGAGCACTTTGAATTATTGGACGACCAAAAACAAAGTTCAGTACACAATTTGCGAATAAAGCTTGGTATACCATGGAGACATGAATCATCTTAAATATAGTAAGCTAAAGCTTATTCAGTACCGCCAGTCTCTGGTGAGGGATGCTGGAACGGTGAACTCTGAGCCTGAAACTGATCGTTGTGGTGGGTTCAGGCTGTGACACTGGAGGGCGTCACAGGTACTGTTGGTGTCTTGGGTGCTCCCAGGCAGAGGAGTTTGTCGTGGGGGTGAAGTATTTTATTCAGAAATGTCTGAGTATTTAAAGCCTGTAAAATGTTTGGGCCAGTCTGAATTTTTTTTCTAAACACAAGTTTGGGTGCAGTTTTAGGTAAGCATGCTGAAGGCCCTTTTTCCAGGCAGTAAAAACAGCAGCAGAACTCACATGTGTAACATAGCAACACAAAACACATGAAGCACTGTGTAAAATATTTACTCTTGAAATAAGGTCAGGAAAATTAGCAACAGCTGCTGGAGAGGTCGCATGTCTTTTCAGCCAGCAGCACAAACTCTCATATAAGAGGAACAGGAACTTGCAGTGATTTTGAGCATGAGATTTAATGGTTGCTGATTAGTGAACAAATTTGCCACTTAGCTCATTTTAGACAAGTCCTACATTGTTTGACAACACTGACACAGTTTTCACTTCATTTAAGATTGAAGAAAAGGAGTAAATGTTAAGTATGTGTGTAATTTGCGTGGTAAAATATGGTAAAGTATTCAGCCAGTAGTGGACATGTGGTCAGACACTGACCACTGATGAAGTGCTAGAGGATGACTAACAGAAATGTTGTATGTAGAAGAGGGGTCTACATGCTGTTGTCTGTATACTTCTAACTATACACCTAGAATGGGTACCAACAAGGTAGGTTGTTTCTAATAAAGTGGCCAGTATGTTTGCACAGTGTTAAAAACCCCAGAAGCACTTGTACCAGTGTAACATACTACTATGCTATAATGATATTAGTGTCACTGCTGAGCGGAGAATGTTCTGCCACCCAAGTTACATGTGGACAGCAGTGGTCTTGTGATGGTCTGGTGGCTTTCAATTAATGGACAGAGTAGAGGGGGGTTGATGAGTTATGCAGCAACAGATGGGCAAAAGTCAGTAACTGTAAACCTACAGAATACACCTAGATAGGTTTTTCCGTACACATAAGAGTCAGTGTGTGTTGGTATGAGGTAGATGTTTAGCATGTGGTGTATCCTGTCACAATTATTGTTTAATCGCATAATCAGTTATTTCAAACGATTGCAGTGATTTTCCACAGTTGTTAGCTTTCACAATCACATGTTTACGTTGCAACAAATAAAGTGTTTTATCCATTTGGTTGAGGCGAATACATTTAAATGAAAGCAGAAAAAGACTCATCATAAAACTTATGAAAAACGGCAAACAGTCTAATTTCCGACTGGCGCACTTTTAGAGGGCAGCGGTGAGTATTGTTTGAGCTTGAGCGGTGTCTGTCAGTTGGGAGAATTGTCATCTAGGAAGCAAGATAGCTAATTGGCCACTTTAGGCTTGGACTCTAAAAGCGGTGTACAATTAACAAAAAAGACATTTAAATTGTTCATCATAGTTATTTATATGGCAATGCGTAGCACAGTTGTCTGCTGAAATTTTGTGATTGTGACAGATCTAGTATTTTTAGGCCCAGTCCTGCCTTCAGTAAATGCTTCATGCACTAAGTAAAGAGAAGGCTGAATGAATATGGAGAAGTCTTCTGCAGTTCTTGGTTAAGCAATGTGACATTATGGCCATTCGTTTCCTGTGGTAGCGTAAGCAGGTGTTTCCCTTTCTATGTTGAGAAAAAGGAAATACCTCCTGTGTGGTGATGACGTCAGCATTTTTCAGTATGCCCATAAGCTAACATCTGGTCCCCTAAAGAACCTTCAGTGTATCATTACACAGCACTTTGAGCTATTTCAACTGTTCCCTAACGCAGTATGTATGATGCAGCTTATGAAGGGTGCAGTAATCAGTTGATCATGTGTGCTGAGTCAAGGAGTAGTTGGAACTGTGCAGTATTGTTGGTTGACAGGAGCAGAATTTAACACCGTGAACAAATCAAGCATTAAAGGCTCTATTTAAAGAAAAGCTTAACATTCCAAAATGTGCTTAAAAACAAAACATAATTTTGGCAGAAGTGTTTTAAACTGCTTTGGGGAAAATAGTCACTCACTTGGATATCAGGCAGTGTGTTTATAACCATTTTGTGTAATGGTTGTGTAATGTAGGGAGCTTTTAGAGGCATTAAACTTTTCAAGCATCTGTTTCCTAAGCTACCACATGCAAACATGTAATATATACTTGCATACACAAAGGTGTGTGTGTGTGTGTGTGTGTTTGATGTGTGTGTGTGTGTGTGTGTGTGTGTGTATATATATATATATATATATATATATATATATATATATATAAAATAAAATTTTCTCTCTTTAAATGGGGCAGTGCTTATGTTTTGCCGCGAGTACAAGCACCATTTAAGGTGGAGTGAGAAATTTGAAAAAGAACTTCAGCTACTTTGAATTTCTCAAGTCATTTATCTCATGTGCATTCCATACACTTGTTCCTCTGAATGTCAGACACTACTGGAATTTGGAAAATGTTAGTCATTCATAGTACCAGCTGGTTTGCGGGTTGTTGCACGGACAAGGCTGGGAGACCGCTAT